AGTTGCTTTAATTTTGGAAGTGGGTGGGGTGTCAGCTTCACTCAGCTACTAAAGGCTGGTTCGGGTCGCGCTTGATTATTTAAAATAAACAATCCATGCTGCTCTTGTGGCTCACTCAGGTATAAGACAGGCCCCACCCCCTCCTTTCTTTTTCCTAGGACCTCAGAAAGAGAAGGGAGGGGCCAGGGTCTTTCCCCATTGCCAATCACGTGTGGTATACAATCTTATATTGAAAACCCACAAAAGAGTGAGTCTGAAAGTCGAACTGTGAAGAATCGAGGGACTACTGTGTACAAGTTGTATGAGAGGAACTTTTCCCGCCTAATCTTTTAAAATGGACTTGTTTCTTCTTCCACTTGTTCGTTAAGGGTGGGTGCCCAAGTAGGTTGTGTGTCTTTGTTGCTAATTGTTGGTTTATTTTGTTAAATATGCAATAAACAATAAAAAAAAAAGTCCAGTTTCCACAGCCTGGCTGCCTAAACTTCACGCTGCAGATAGACCTGTCGCAACAAACAATAAATTAATTAATCGCATGATAAATGAAAATTATCAACCTCGTTTTCATCTACCAGCTTTATCATTTCTTCTTGTCTCTCTCTTTCTACCGAAGACACTGGATGACAAAAAGCTCAACTCCGGTGCTCTTCACTGACCCCTCCCTTTTTCTTTTCTTTAAAATCTGTTTTAACCGTCCAAAATCGTGTTTTTGGATCGTTAAAAGCAGCTAAGCTACGAGCTAAGCTAACAGGCCGACATCGAGGGAAAAAACCTCCTTCTTGTCGAAGCTCCAAAATTCACGGTTGAAACCCGTGCCTTTGTGTAAAAAGTTGTTTTTCTCTGCAAAAAGAAGCTGAAAACTTGCTTACTGGTTAAAAAATAATAATTATTAAAAGCTTTGTGTGACAAATGCTATGCTAAAGAGCTCAAATCACAACGAGCATCCGCCATTTTGAGAACCAAAAAAAAAAAGGAAAGCGAGACAGCCCATCTCACGTCAAGGGGCCTCCCTCCCATTTTTCTTAAAGGGACACGCTGCTCACACTCTCACTATCCATCCTTCGGTTCAAACAGTCTTGTACTGCCATCCGGTGGTCAAAAAAGGTACTACACACAAAAATGAACCAACATTTCTTCTTAAATTTGAAAATAATTACTAATTATTGTCACATTTCAAACAGTATTTTCATTTATCACAATAATTTCTGAGCCCAGCAAAATTTGTTATCGTGACAGGCCTAGCTGCAGAAATAATATCCAAAGCAATCTTCTGAACCTTGACCAGTACTTGTTAACTTTTTGTGTACCAGCAGCCCCTCTGATCCGGCCGTCTGGACGCTGGGGTCAAACTTTATGTCCCATCGATGCTCAGACGGCCATTTTAATCGGAGGTCAGGGAGCCAAGATGCAGTTCTGCAAGGATCCAATGTGGAAGCTCTGCATGGGTCGGTCCACTGCAAACAACATTCAGAAACGTCTCTTTGTATCAGAAGGCTGCAGAAGGTTTGATTTTGTCCTCTGTCCATTAGAGGACATGTCCTGGGTGGCAGCAGAGACTCTGGCAGAGGGTCCGACCCCTGAGGCCCGGATCGGCCACACAGCCGTCTACGACCCAGACTCCAAGCGCATCTTTGTGTTCGGAGGCTCCAAGAACAAGAAGTGGTTCAACGATGTCCACATCCTGGACACGCAGAGCTGGAGGTGGAGCATGGTGGAGGTGTGTTTGGACCCCACTTTTTTCGCTTTGGAAAGTTTCAGGCAAGTTTCCCAAATCTTCCCGTCTTCTTCTTCAGGCTCAGGGAAAGGTTCCCCCGCTGGCCTACCACAGCTGCAGCATGTTTCGGGGGGAGCTCTTCGTGCTGGGAGGGGTGTTTCCTCGCCCCAACCCAGAGCCCGATGGCTGCAGTGACTCGTTGTACATCTTCGACCCTCACCTCTCCATCTGGTACCAACCCATCGTCACAGGAGACAAACCGTCCCCCCGATCAGGGTAACAGCACTCCGTTAACGTTAAATATTAAGCGTTATGTTTGGTCAAACACTTAAACCGTATTTTTCTCGCCAGCCACTCTGCGTGTGTGATTCAGGAGAGGTACATTTACGTGTTCGGGGGGTGGGACACTCCCGTCTGCTACAACGACATGTACATACTGGACCTCGGTAAGCTACACCCCGACTGGTCACTAAACAACACGCACACTGGAAGTATAAACAAACAAATTGTGTTTATTAGGTCTGATGGAGTTTTCTGTTGTGACAACATCTGGAAAAGCGCCGTCCCCTCGAAGGTACGATCACAAAACCCTCATTCAGTGGCTGTTTATGACCCGTACGCTCAATTTTTGAACACGATTTAGTGTGTGAGGGTTTATTTCGAGATCCATTTTTCTTCTGCTCGTTCCATAGTCCGTTTTGCTATTTCAGCAATTCCTGTATCAAAACGTTCGGCTCATTTGGGACAATCCTGCTATGACTTTTGGTGTTTGTGCCATTTTTACGTTTTGAAATATTTAGCTTTTTTGTCCACGAAAATTAATTGAGAACATTTTCCATTCGTCAAATCTTTAGATCTGTTTAGGACCTTTTACTGCTTCCTTTAGCTTCTTTCAGCTTCCTTCTGCAAATTTAAACGTTTTTTTTTTTTCAGCTGTTTTGTGCTCCTTTCAGTCTCTTTCTGCTAACTACAACATTTTTGTGCTTCTTCTATCTTATTTTTGCTAATTTCAGCTCCTTTCTGCTTATTTATACGTTTCAGCTTTTTCTCCTACTTCAGCTACTATTTAGCTGTTTGTATGCTAATTTGATCTTTTTTTTAGCTAATTCCACATTTTGATTTTTTGCACATCTTTCAAATTTTTTCAGTCTAATTCATCAAAAATGTGCTCTCTCCACTTCCTTCTGGTAATTGAAGCTTATTTCTGTTATTTAGCTACTTTTTTCAGCATTTATTTTAGCTAATTTTAGCCTTTTCAGATAAACTCAAGTTTTTCGTGATAATTTCTGCCTTATAAAATTTTTTCTGCTAATGTCAGCTCTTTTCAGCTTTTTTCTGCTATTTCAGCTTTTTATGCTAAATTTAGCTTTTCCAGCTAATTTCACATTTGTTAGTTCATGTCACCTCCTTCCACCGCCTTCTGGTACTTTAAGCTTCTTTCTGCCTTTTCAGTTACGTTTCAGTTATATTTACCTAATTTCACCCCCTTTTTTAGCTAATTTTGTAATTTTTATGCTCATTTCTGCTTTTTTAAACATATTTCAGCAAATATGTGTTCTTTCCGCTTTCTTCTGCTTACGTTGGCTCGTTCTTCAATTTCAGCTATTTGTCAGCAAGTTCTTCAGCAATAAGCATTCATACATTTTCGCAGGAAATTTATTTTGTTTCAGCCTTTTTTATTTTTTTAGCTTTTTCAGCAACAATATTTTTTTTTTTGCTAATTTCATATTTGTAATATTTCTTTTTGTCTCTTCCTTATTAGCTCAATTTGCTCATGCTTGCAACATTTCTGCTCCATTCAGCCTTTCCTACACATCCCTGTAGTTTTTCTACTGCTTTAAGCTTTTCTTTTTCTGCTTTAAGCTTTTATTTTTCTGCTTTAAGCTTTTATTTTTCTGCTTTAAGCTTTTATTTTCCTGCTTTAAGCTTTTATTTTTCTGCTTTAAGCTTTTATTTTTCTGCTTTAAGCTTTTATTTTCCTGCTTTCAATAAATGTCAGCTGTTCAAATTCAACTAGCGTTAACAGTTTAGCTCGGTTCAACTTCTTCAGCTGCTTTCAGCAGAAATCATTCTCACTGCATTTGCGTAGGAAATGCAACTTCTCTCTTCGAAAGGTTTTATGAACGTGGAAACAAAATGATTAAAAATATATTTGCTGTTGCAGTTGGCACGGCAGTGCTGTGCTGTCGGACACCAAGTTTCTGATCCACGGTGGCTACAACGGGAACAACGCTCTCAGTGACGCCTTCGTCTTCGATACAGGTGAGGAGCGTTTTAATAATGCCAGAAAATTAAAACAGTTCCTTAAAGAATTGCATTTCATGCAGTTATTATCGTTATGCATACAATCTGTTTGCACTAGTATGTGTTGTAAAGGACTCTCAGCTACTACCACCACATTTTAGTTCAGCAGCTGTAAAATCGTGTTTGTTAAATCTGGTTAGCTGTGGCGGCCATTTTGACTTTGGTTGACTCCAGAAGTTATTCAGCTCAAAGATCACATCCTAAAAGTTACATTTAAATGTGTTTAGTAAATCGTGACATGTTTTTCTAACAGACAGATAAAGACAAAAACATTATCGCCAGCCACTGAATGCAAAGAAAAGCAATAAAATAAAATAAATTATTGCAATGTTTCGACATTCAGCTTCTAAATATAAGTGAAGCTTTCTGTGAAGCTGCAAACTCATTCAAATAAATATATATATTTTTTAATTTAAGTGAATTGTTTCCATCTTTTTGTCCATTTATGTCACCTCGAACCTAGTATTAAGGAACAAAGTGGTCTGTAAGGATAGAGGCAACTTGTGCTTTGGTTGAAAAATTAGCAATAATTGCATTTTGTCAAAATATGATGGAATAAATACCTCATCCCTGCGTTCCTTTTAAATGAAATGTCTCCTATGGAATGTTCTGGAACTTTTGTCTGAGCAGTACCATCAGCTAATGATAATTTGGAGCAGAAAAGCCTTACATTTTTTGCTACTTTCTGCTAAATACCGTCCTGTTCGCCGTATAAGTTGCACCTTTTTGCATAAATTTGCACGCCCTGCGACTTATATGGCGGAGCGACTTATTTGTTTTTTTTCTCCCATATCTATAACCCAAATTTTAGCAGAAATCTGACGATTTCATTCATTCTTACATCGAAAATATTGAACACTACCATTTTCAACCACTAGATGGCCCTCAAGGAATATGGCAAGCTAAGTGTCTCGTTAATAGGTAAAAGTGGCTATTAATGAGACACTTGGCTTGCCGTACCAAGCCACCTTCGTCTTGCTCCGGAACTCCTGGAGCAAACGTCAAATCAGCTGCATTTCGCCGCTCCGCTAGGCCTGTCACGATAACAAATTTTGCTGGGCGATTAATTGTCTCAGAAATTATTGTGATAAACGATAATGTTTGAAATTTGACAATAATTAGTAATTGTCAAATTTAAGAAGAAATGTTGGTTAATTTTGTGTGTAGTACCTTTTTTGACCACTGGATGGCAGTATAAGACTGTTTAAACCGAAGAATGGATAGTGAGGGAGCGAGCAGCGTGTCTCTTTAAGAAAAATGGGAGGGAGGCCTCTTGATGTGACATGGGCTGTCCCTCATTCTTGTTTTTCGTTTTTCAAAATGGCGGATGCGCGGTATGTTTTGAGCTCTTTAGCATAGCATTTGTCACACGAAGCTTTTAATAAAAATCTGTAAACAAGTTCTCAGCTTCTTTTTGCAGAGAAAAACAACTTTTTTAGACAAAGGCACGGGTTTCAACCATGAATTTTTGAACTTCGACAAGACCGAGTTTTCCGAGGTCGGCCTGTTAGTTTAGCTCGTAGCTTAGCTTCTCAGCTTAGCTGCTTTTAACGATCCAAAAACACCATTTTGGACGGTTAAAATAAATTTTAAAGAGAAAGGGAGGGGTCAGTGAAGAGCACCGGAGTTGAGCTTTTTGTCTTCCAGTGTCTTCAGTAGAAAGTGAGACACGAAGAAACGATAGAGCCGATAAATGAAAATGAGGTTGATAATTTTCATTTAACTTGCGATTAAATGATTAAAGATTCAGATGGATTTTCCAGTGTTTATCACAACATCAAAATGTAGCTTAAAATGGTTAGATCAAAAGGATCCTTTGTTTATTCGTCCTCGGTTCGATGCGACGGGTCACATATTTTAGATTCATCAAAAAAAAAAAAACCTCTTTGCTGACGTTGAGTTTTGTCGTTTCAGAGTCGAGCACCTGGACGGAGCTGACGCTGCCTCGGCTCTCCGTCCCCAGGGCGGGACACTCCATCATCACCATGGAAACGCCCGGTCGCCGTCCCACCTCGGAGCAGGGCGGAGACGTAGCGGCGAGCTTCGGGTCCGATGGAAGAACCCTGCTGGTGTTTGGAGGCGGAGACAACGAGGGGGACTTTTACTCGGACCTGACGAGCGTTCCCATGGAGGAAGTGCTCGGCGTGGAAAAGTTTCTACTTCCTGTCCGAGCGTGAAACCGCTTTAACGTCTTTTCTTTAAGGTTTTGAATTATTTTTTTATTCCCAGTTTGTGTTGAAAACCGCATTAAAGTTCCATCTATTCGCAGGTTAGCTGTAGATTTTAGATTTAACCTGAGTCCGGTAAACAACAACAAGAGATATATTTTTTCTAAATAAACATTTCCCACCACAGGTTTGTCATTTAGAACAAATATTGTCACTGATTTAAAACATTTACTTCAAATGCACACACGTGAAACTTGTTCTCTCAGGTACATATTGCTGTTTTATTTTCTCGTTTTTTTTGTTTTTATAAACAAACGGATCATTTACATAAAATATATATTTTATTATGTTTACATACTGTGGAAATAATCGTAAAAGCTTGCATTTGTCTTCTCTTTATTCTTAATAAACATTTATATTTTGAGCTCAGTCTTACCGTCATTAAAAAATACGACTCTGAATCTTTATTCATTTTCAATTTATTCACTTTTTCAGTCCGATGTAAAACTCCAGCGGGTCGACTTTATATTAAAACGGGTCCGATTATTAGAATTTTTAGGCGTGATTCTCGTTCCACAGCTTTTGTTATATTTCAACAAATCGTGAATCAAAATGTTCAGCTCTTTCAGGACAGTGCTGCTATGACTTTTGTTATTGGTGCAACTTTAGCTTTTTGAGATATTTAGCCTTTTCTTACTTTTTTCCTCAGAAAATGAACTGGGCTCATTTTACATCCTTCACATCTTTAGCTCTGTTTACAACCTTTTACTGCTCCTTTCACATTTTGTTCTGCTTCAGCTTCTTTCCTTGTGCAAATTTAAACTTTTCAGCTAATTTCAGCTGTTTTTTGCTCCTTTTAGGTTCTTTCAGCTAACTAGAATATTTTTGTGCTTATTCTATTTTCTTGCTGCTAATTTCAGCTTATTATACTCCTTTCAGCTTATTTATACAAGTTTCAGCTTTTTCCTGCAATTTCAGCTACTATTTAGTTGTTTTCATGCTAATTTTAGCTTTGTCAGCTAATTCCACATTTTTTTTGCACTCATTTCAACTTTTTTCAGTCTAATTCAGCAACAAATGTGCACTCTACTTCTGGTAATTAAAGCTTATTTTTAGCTACTTTTCAGCTGTTTTTTGCCTAGTTCAGCTTTTTTCAGATAATTTCCACTTTTTGTGCTCTTTTCTGCTTCTTTCAGCTTAATTGGGCAAATGTTGTTTCTGCTTTCTTATGCTAAGTTAAGCTCATTCTACCTTTTCAGCTATATCTTACTTTTTTTTAGCTAATTTCAGCTGTTTTCAGCTAAATTCAAGTTTTTCGTTGTAATTTCTGCTACTTTCAGCCTAATTATCTTCTTTCTGCTAATTTCAGCTTGTTATACTTCTTTCAGCTTTTTTTCTGCTAGTTTCAGCTGCTATTTAGCAGTTTATGTGCTAAATTTAGCTTTTTCAGCTAATTCCACATTTTTTTAAATCTCATTTCAGCTCTTTACACTTCCTTCTGGTAGTTAAGCTTCTTTCTGCTACTTTTTAAGCTCATTTCTTTTTTTTTGTGCTAATTTTTACTTCTTTAAACCTAATTCAGCAAATATGTTTTCTTTTTACTTCTGCTAACAGGCTTGTTCTTCCATTTCAGCATGTTTTTTTAATTGATTTCAGCTGTTTTTCAGCAAGTTCTTAAGCAATTAGCATTCACACTACATTTTTGCAGAAAATGCAATTTCCCTAGTTAAAATGTGTTTTAACTTTAAAGGGTAGTTCAGATCTTTAGACGTGGGGTTTATTTAACCTGGTCACATGGTTTGGTGAAGCTGTGCACTGCAGCCATGGAAACGGACCATAATGCACTGCAGCCCGAGTCCACATGGAAGGTTAACGCTAACGTTTGCAGCTCGTTGTGGTTTTCAGACTCACTGAAAATGCCTTCACTTAACTCCACATGTTTAATATAAAGCCTCTGAGACATAATTTAAAAAGTGCAAACTGAAACGTTAAAATCTAAACACGTTAAAAACACATTAAAGATGTCTTGGGAAGCCTTTTTGTTGTCGGCTCATTAGCTGTGGTCGCCACCTTAAAGTGGATTGACTCCTGAAGTCGTATCTGTTTCTCAAATGCTCACTGGAATCCATCAAGTGGTTCGCAGGATATTTTGCTAACAGACAAACATGGTTGACCCCAGCAGCTTATGCTTAAAATTTAAACACGGCTTGGCCAGCGAGCAGAACGTGGAGTGCGAGTTGACAATCGCCAGATTTTAGCACAAAATTAGTAAAACTGACCAAATGACCATTGCAGTTATTTGTAAGAGGAGTTGGCTGCAGCAGCCATCTTGAACTGTGTCCGCTTCAAACGTTGAAGCGCTGTAGATTTACAGCCAGTCGTAAAATGTTAGTTTTATTAAATTAAACCCAGCAGGTTCATGAAATATTTGACTTGTAGACTGCAGATAGGTTATTGGTGACAGATGTGGAGAGAGCTTGCGTTATGTGTTGGGGATCAGTCTCGGCTACTACCCAGTTTTAAATCAACGTCTTTAAAACTGAAATCAGTTCATTCTGCAGATTTGATGTAGCTATTGACAAAAATCCTGCAGATGGCGACACCTCCTCACTTTTTTTTTTTTTGCAACAAACTAAAAATGATTCACAGCTGAGCTCACATGGAATTTAATAAATAGATGCATGTTGAAAACAGCAGTATTTATCTTTTTTCAATTCGTCTTTGTCCCCTTTAGTGTGCTCTTGCCGTTTTAAAGGTGAACCCTTTGTTCCTGCCCCCCCCACTTGATTCTTCGGGAAATCCTGCCAGTTGGATTCCCTCCCAGTCGTTCCCAGCAGGCCTCTCAGAGCCTTTCGTTTCCTGAACTCTTCTTTTATTTTCCGCACAACATCCTCGCATTGTGCGACTCTGCAGACCGAGTTCAGACATCACTTGTTTTTTCCATTTTCCCAGTCGCAGCCGCATCATCTGAGGCAGCCTTCAGTCGTTGCTAAGTAACTTGGAGATGTCTGAGCCTGCAGTCACACAAACGGATGACATGGATATATATATTTACATTTTATTTTTGGTTTATTTTTGGAGCAGCGGCTGCGAATAGAGCCCATGATTTGGCAGGATTAGAGTATGAGCTAAATAAATAACCTGTAGCTGATGGGACGTCTTTATGCTCAATTACAAATAGTTAGATATTAAACAGAACATTTAATATACATAAATATTGGGGAAATTGTCAGAGTTGGTCAGTATCTTCTTGTTTGATGATTAAGTTTAAGCTTTGCTGCAATAACGCTTCATAAATGTACGGCTGTGTAATTCTCTGATTAATGATGGTCAAAATTAAGAAATAACTTATGATTATGGAATTGCCACCAGTCGTAATATGAAATGCTATGTTTGACACTGAGCTGAGAAAATAGCAAAGTTTTAAATATTACTAATATATAGGATGCAACATCACAATTTTGAGATACTAGGTCATAAAAATGAGATATTAAGTCATTTTTATGAAACATTAATTTGGTAGATAAGTCATAATTACTGTTTCATAATGTAATTATGAGATAAGTAAGTTCTAATTATGAGAAAATATGAAATAGGGATGCACAATATTGGATTTTTGTCCAATATCCAGTATGTTAAAACTTATCTGGCCGATAACCGATACCAATACCGATTTTCCTTAGACCTTCTTACAGAGACTACATAACTTTCTCTGCTGTGGAGTTAAAATACATTATTCTGCGTGGTCTTTGGATGGATGGACTGCTGGTGAGGTTTTGTTTCTCCACGGTTGACCGCTCTCTCGCTTTCCTTTCTGGCCACCATAACCTCATCATAATGGTCGGAATGGTGATTCTTGAGATGGCTAATTAAGTTTTGAAGTGTTGTAGGACTTCATTTTCGCTCCTCCTCGCATCGCTGACGCTGAACAGTCATTGCAAATAGCAGTTCTGCGATCAGTCGCCGACACTTTAAAAAACTCCCACACCGCCGATACGTTCACTCCTTCCTCTCCCGCCGTGATCAGATCAGGTAGGAGCGTGTGACGTCATCACGTTGTGCTGGCGCTGCAGGCATCCTTGTCACTGGGTTGTCATACAAAAACAGTGCCTTTTATCTCGGTGAGTTATTTTGATGGAATGGCCGATATCTGATATTTACTTTTATCGTTAATATCGGCTGATACCGATACCATGCCGATAATATCGTGCATCCCTAATATATATACATACAGCACTTTGGTTGGCCTTGTTGCTGTTTTAAGTGCTTTATAAATAAAGTGGTATGGTATGATATACATAAATAATATATATATATATGTATATATAAACAGTACTTTGAAATACTAAGTCATATATTGAGATTACATGTGGTAAATATGAGATGCTATTCATATTTGTGAGATGATAAGCTATCCCTTAATCATGGCATAACCATAAACACGAGATGGTCAAGTCATAATTATAAAATACTAGCTCATAAATGTGAAATAGCTCGATTAAATGTATGACGGAACTACAAGTAGTTTATAAATATGACCTATCTAAGTTTTGACCATGAAATAGCTGTGTTTTAGTTATGGCGTAACTAAATTCTATGTATGTGATACTTAAGTGTTTTTTTTAACAAAGTATGATATACTGAGTCATAATTGTGAGATGCTACGTTTTAATCAGTAGATGTTAACCCATAACTAACCCTAACCCATTTACGAGAAAATACAACATAAAAACATCAAATCATAGCTATAAGATATTTATATCCCAGTATTAAGAAAATATTCTAAATATAGGATTCTAAGTTATAATTAGGATATGTTAAGCCGTATGTGGCAGCAAATATAAATATTTAGTCTTAGTCATAATTATGAAAAAAATATTCTACATAGAGATACTAAGTCACAAATTTAAGATACTATGCCACAATTATGAGACAGTGTTTTAAGTATGAGATACTAGATCATAATTATGTTAAGCTATGTTTATATAAAATATAAATTAGTCATAGAT